TTTATTACATAACATTATATTAACAGAATAATACACATTAATCGGTGGCTAATTAATAAAATTTATCATAATTTTAATTAACTACTCGTTTATAGCTGTTTGTATTTTTCTGTTGTAGTGTAATTTTAATTACAAATTTCAAAGGACAAAATTCTTATCTGTTTTATGAAATCGTTAACAATATCAGTAATTAACTGTATATCCATTTTCGTTTCTAACTACCTATACTCATTTTTATGTTGATAATGTGTCTGTTAAGGGCTTAAGGCAACCTTAATTCATGTAAATTCTAGTACGTATTAGCGTTTTCGCAGTTTTGCCATCTGTAAGGATAAAGAACAATATTATTCGTATGATTACCAAAACTGAAACCATTATGAATAAGTAAATCGGAAATCGTCACACAATCGGACGCGTTCACTTTCACTGATTGTTAAAAAAGATATTTTGTTAAGATATTGGATTGATATGCAAATTATCTTAACGTGCTAAGTTCCGCAAACAGCTGTAGAAAAGAACGTGATAACTTTTTAATGCACATTTAACCGTTGTCATATGTGGAAACGCATGTTAAGGTAATTTAATTTTCACTTAAAAAACGAAAGTGGTATTATAAACACCTTGCAAAAATGACACTGGTGGTGCCGTTTTATGTTAAAAATTGCATATTTATGTGAAATTTGTATAAATCGTCATGCATGCCTAATTATTCACGATGAAGGTATTTTATCTGTCGTTTCCTTTCATAGGACTATTTATCCGTTTATCTGTAACTACCGCGCATCTACTTCCTCAAAATATTCTTGATTTAATGCATCTTCTGTACGTCTCTATTCTATTGTAATGTGTTCATCAAAATTCGAAAATCTGGTTGGACGTATGTCCGGGAAGAAGGTTTTTGATTTAGAAAAATTGCACGAGATGAGGCGGCAAGAAACCTAGAAAAGCGTCAATTTTCAATTACCATCATCGAACCACCTTCCAATAAAGCTATAGTTTGATTTTGAACACCAATGCCCTCAAAATTAATACTTTGCTTGCTCGTCGTCAGTTTCTCGATTTTGTCTTTTTTCATAAACTTCTAAACGGCTGTATTGTATTGACTCGTCGTATTTGGTTGAATTAATAACATTTAATGTTCCTGGAAGAACTCTTAGGTTTAGTCAATCTTTTAGTATAAAACTGTATAAAACGTTATACTTATTTACAACACTCCCCGATTATAAGAGTTTTGCAAACTCCTTTCCGCAAATTGAAATAATAGGTGTTAGTTTATCTGATGAACTTAGAAATAATCTTAAGTTGTTATTAAATGATGTCGACAAATGATACTAGCAATGTTAATTTAGTTAGTTTATTACTGCTCTCTGTATTTATGTTTAATTTCCTTTTTTCCAGTAATTTAAGTATAATTACCTTTTGTATAATGTGAATTGTACACAAAACTTTAATTTTTTGGGGCCTCTACCGTAAGACTAAATAAATAAATAAATAAAAGCCTTCGTTTTTGGTATTGGGCCATCAAGAGTGTAACGATTTTCCCAATGAAATTGGTATACTAGATAATACAAATTTCTTACAATCTTGTTTCAAAAAAATGTCCTACACAGTGAAGCATTAACTTTTATCAGCTCCGAGATCAGCTCTTTGACGTAGGTTTTATCCCAAGAAAACTGGTAAAGGGGTGCTGACCAATAATCAAAATCAAGGTTTGGCAGTAAAGACAAGATCGTTTTTTTAATAATGCTTAATTTTTACATCCTTCCGTGGCAACTAAACTATACGAAGAGTAGATTAATTATTTCAATAAATACGCGGTTTCAAAAACTGTAAAAAATTACAAATATATTTTAACGTAAATTTAATTACGCGATTACAACTAGTTAACAATAAATTTATAACAAACTTGAAATGAATTGATTTATAACAGTTAAAGTATTATTATTTTATCACTCACATATGCATGATTTACAACAGCGCGAACTATTTACTACTTCGGCGTTGAAATCCGATTTGATTATATAACCTACCTCTCTTTCTCGAAAGTTCTCGAATGGTTCCGAACGCTCCCGAATATTCTAGATTCTAGAATGATATCGAACAAAACAAGCCATATTTCCCGGAAAAACGACTAATCTTTCATGGCGCCTCGATGCCTATAGGGATTTCTGGAATATCGTATTAACATACTTTGTCCTTTATGTTATTTGACTCCTTATTTAACATTAGCGTTTGGAATTGCTAGAGGCGTTGAATTTCCCTCGGAATTTCCTCTGTCATGCAGAAACACGCTAGAAGGCTCGGGATTGCGCTTAAGTGACGGAATGCTGTAGAGGGTGCTTTAGGTTTCATTCTAGAGTTTTCTAGTGCCCATGAAAGTCTTTTAAGTGATTTCCTACGCCGACTGCTTAGATCTCAGATCTTTCCCAATACTTTCTAGAAACTATCCATACGATACCTTGGAAAGGTTTATATCGCATTTCCAGGCATTCTAATACCTTTACATTTGTTTCCATTACAAAATGGGAATGAAGTTTACAAAAATTTCTGAAAGGTTCCCGAAATGCATTAGCTGTTTCATAATGTTTTAGAAGGTTTGGAGAAAATGATTAGACACTCTGAACTCTGATGATACTCTAGAACGATTTTTATTGTCTGGGAAGGCTCTGGAAAGCACTTATATAGAACTGTGAAAACCATTTAGATGGCCTTTCTAACCTTGTTCTAACCATTTCCAGTGATTCATTCCATAAATTCTATCCTGCGTTCTGTTTTCTAGACCCTTCCAGATAAATTTCAAGACTGTTTAGATCTTAATCTTTCTATAACCGGTCGAACGAAGAAACTTATTATAGAAAGAACCGAGAAAGCTCTAGAAAGGAAGCTCGGAAGAACCAGATACATCTGAACATCTGATTAAGTCAAATAATCTCTTTCAAGGAGAGCTAAAAATCTTTAAATATACAGTGCGTTCGAGATAAGAGGGCCACTTTAATTTAGTGTAAGACCACCCCAAATATGCTGTATGCATAATGGTTGATTCGTGACTCAATATTTAAAACTTATGAAATTTAGCATTCCGTGTGCTGTCAAGACGCCATTTTTTGCATATTACCCACAAGCATATTCTATGTTGTTGTAGCTTCATCAATTTCCGATTAAACCGGAAGTGATACCGCCAGTTTCAATATAAGACTGGATAAATTATATTTGACAATTTTTTTGTATTCCGCGAAATAAAAGAGATGGTGAGGTGACTCCCATAACTCGTATAGGGTTTTTAAAGGACTTACTCTGAAAACGTTTAGCAAAACACCTATAGAACGCCGTGCAGTATTTCATATTTCTTTCAATGTTCTAGGAGGCGATTACAATTAAGACTATCGAAAGCATTTAGAATGTTTTACCTGGTCTGTAAATATCTTAGAAGGTTGAGCAACCATACACGTTCACAAAAACACCATCAAGAAAATGGCATGCAGAAGTTTTGCGGATGGTCGACAAATTTTCTTAAACTTCACGTTGCTCTTATTTCTCGACAATTAATATCAAATATATAGGAAATGCTGTCTACTTTTATTTTATATGTTGTATTTTATATTTTGGGCAAAAAAACTGAAAAATAAACTTCCGTTAATACCTGAAAAATTTGATTATAACTTTAACTAACGAATTGCAATGTTGTGCAATCTAAAGATCTCGGGAAATTTACTACTCCACATGGCTAAACTCCTGCGACCCCGATGGCCAAGTACTATATATATTTTAATACTAAACCTAAACAATAAGGAGCTAAATACCCAAAAACACCTTCACATTTAGATGTGATTAGAAGAGTTAAACTGGCCCTTACAGTGTGTAAATCTGATCTCTTGATTAACATGTTCAATGCGTGAATATTTCAAACCCGGCTTTATGGTTCAATGGTAGAGCTTTGGACTATAAATCCGGAGGTCGAGTGTTCGAACCTTGGTGAATTTCTCATCTGTGGCAGAGATGGAAATTACCTTAGATTAGACCAGTTTCGAGCATTCTGCCGGCTACTCCGAATAAGGTTTTCCTGCAGTTTTCCTAATTCGTAAGGTAAATACCGGAGTAGTATATATAGAACAACTTAAGACCTTCTGCAGAGCACCTCTAAAAAGCATTGTGCGGGCCACTCTGTAATTGGGAGCAAGTCTGTTGAGGGCCCAGAACAAGAGAGGGATATTAATAAAAATAAATAAAACCGAACATAGGTAATTTAACATGGGAAAAACGTTTTATGCAGATCGTTGCTCCCCATGTTAACTTAGAGGGTTTAATCGAAAGATTTTCTGGTTTGTTACACGTAATGAAATTTTTCTTAGGTGGGACATAAACTCGGTTTGGCCGGCTGCGTCGCCTCACCTCGCACTTCTAATGTGTATGCTCGTCTTAATTCTAATTTAGGTATTCTACTGCTCGCTGTCTCTCTTCTCTCTCAACTGAACTCAAACCTAATACTTATGTGAAAATGCTGCTATTTGGGGCGCAGGCAAATCCAAATCAAAGATTATGAAAATTGATCAAGCGGTCAAGCCGTTCTTGAGTAGGTAATAAATGATGGGACCTAACTGTTTTATATACTCGTATTAAAGTTACAACTAAATCTTAATTTGAAAAAAATTTCAATGCATTTTTTATGCTGTAGTGGGTGGGTAAGTTCTTGCCATTTTTACAATACGGAAAAAATACGAAAGATGTTAATAGAGCGTTGTGCAAAGTTGCTGCAAAGTTAATATTTGCCAGATACCTATATTCTATACTGTACAGGTGTATAGTATAAGTAGATGTCTATATTCTATTATTAATGTCAACAGATTCTAGTGGCCCACTTTTTGTTCCACAGCTTGCAAATAAATATATTTTCTCATCAGCAATTAATTTCACACTTAAATTAATGATTTACGGTATAAACATGCAAAAAAGATCATCTCTGCTAGAGGTGCGGTATATCATTTCATTTCGTAAAATTTTACCTGTTTTTCGCAGAAATTGGGAACCAAATTGGAACATAAGAGATTCTTCTTCCTTGATGCTCAGCACCAGTCAATAGATATTAAAAATTACGACGAAGAAAAAAATAAGTAGATTCTTCCACCACAAAACGCACAGTTCGTCACATCACGAGATCTACCTCGAAATTCTTATAATGAACACACAAATATTAACGAACCCCTATAAAAATTATACACGCGTGCCCGAAGTCGCACCTGACTGATCTCATTCGACACCGGCTCAGGTTTACCGTCTAAACGTGTCCCTACCCTAAGGTAAACTGCACGTTAACTGATATCAGATAATCAGGTAAGATTCCGCGACACGTGCGCACGTGTATCGCCCACTTCTCACCTATCTAACGATTCCATTGGCCGACACCTGAGCGAAGGACTGGCTCGAGTGGATTTTCTCTTTCCATTGGCGCGGTGATTTCTTTAGAAAAATTATTGGTGCCTTGATTTTCAAGGCTTTTCAAGCTGTTATTTTCACAACGCTTTTTTGTGATATGCCTCGATTAATTAAACATACATAACAAGGTCTCCCGGTTCCTAATCTGATCGAAGTGCTTGTATGTAAATATGCGCAGATGAAATATTAATTCTTGTGCAAATTACAAAACTTTCTGGCGATTTTTTTTCGAATGCCAATGTCCTATTGAAGTTGAAGATCTTTGATTATGCAAAATATGAGGTGGGTAACCGCCATTATTGTTGCAAATTGTCATTTTCGCAGAATTGACTTGCAAATTAAGTTTAGTTATTGGAATATTATATCAAAAAACCAGTGAACTTTATGCAATGTGCATCTCTGACACCTTTTAGGTGTGACTAGCCATGAACTTAGATATATATTTAAAAGGTGTAGGTACCTACCTATAATGTCTTTATTTAAATTTTATTTTAAAATTGATTACTGTATGCAACGCTAACGCTCTTTCACCCTTTACTTTTTAATATATCAATATACCTACGTCCATAAGTTAATGATGATATAGGTAAGTAGGAGAGCGAAATTTTAGATGTCACCCTAAAGTACATATATAGGTACCTATTGGCCAATATCTGTATACTACCATTAGAGCCCGTTGGTAACTATTATACCATTGAATAACGAAATCAACCGCTATTAGGGGAGACCGGGGCTAGTTGTCCCAGGGGTAACTTGTCACAATGTCGATTTCTACCTTATTTGAGAAAGCAACACGCTCCACTATATCTACAGTCGAAAGGACATACTTATCACCAATACCGCACACAAAATAATTCTGACATCGGCCGGTAATTATTTCTTTTATGATCAATGTATTTTGCCGTTTCTCCAGTAAAATTGTTAATCGGTAATCAACTCGTGCTGTGGGTGTATATAGGAAACCAAGGCAAACCAAATATGTTGTAACATGAGCTACTGCTAACCTTGCAGACTACATATGTAGGTATATTTTGATATATATTTTTCCTTTTAACAATTCGTGGGACACCAGGTTGTCACAAATCAAACGGGGCAAGTTGTGACTAGTTATAAAACAATCTAAAAGCGCTAACAAATCTGTCTTCTACTCAAAGCCAATAAGAAAAAAGAAATTTTATCAGGCGAGGAAGGCTGTATGTGTCTTATTTGAGGAAAACTACAGAGTTTTTGTTGAAAGCTGTAGGTATTAGATGTAGGTACAACTTGCAAACAATGGGAACATAAAAACTGTACTGATAGAAATCCGTTTTATGTACCTATGACCTATGCCACAATTGTGACTCAGAAAACGATATGTAGTAGGTATACTTCTTCGTAACTTTTTTTGGATAGGTAGGTACAACCCTTTGAATTCTGCTTTATTTTTGTGATACTGATGTGACAATTTGCCCCAGGTACTGTGACAACATGTCCCAGCACTCCCAGCTAGCTTTAGTAGGAAAAAAATATACCTATGTAGGTAACTTACTAAAGAAAAATTATGTGCATATAAGAAATTTAACTGAAAATTCACCAAACAATTCATTTTAACATTTATTGTACCTACCTATAGATATTTAAAAGTTATTGTTTCTGCAGCATTATTAAGTGTTTTTTTATTAAGGGATAAGAATTTTAATTGCACAATGTACATAATATAAAAAATATTTATGAATCGAAATATACGAATATACATGATGGACCTCATTTAAATATCTACTGTTGTTAATAGTAGAATTCCAGCATTATTTTGCATAGGTATTAGGTATAAGTATGTTTATATAGTCGTTTTTCTGTTTGGTATTTATATAATTAATTGATCCAATCGTGTATATAAAAGTGGGCATACCCATATCTCATTCAGTAGCATCTACATATTATTTTCTACCAACGCAAGTGGTTCATTTATACCTACCTATCAATTTGAAATTAGTAGATAGGTACCGTTTACCTATACTCATATTTTTATGTAAATCAGAGATTTAACGTGTTAGGTAATTCGATAATGTTTAAATTAATAATTTATAGATTAATATACCTACCTACCGTATAGGTACATGATTATGGTCAATTCAATATATGTACAAGATATAATTCGATTTAACTGTTTAATTGTTTATGACAATGCGTCGGACCTAGCATCGGACTATAATGTATTGGAGGGTACCTATACATCGTTGTATTACATACTAGCAGTCCCGGCGAACTTGGTAGGTACCGCCTTGGGGAAATCCCGTTTTTTTCTCGTACACCGTTCCCGTGGGAACTTCGGGAAGTTTTTTGGAAGTACCCCCTCAAAGAAATCCATACGTTCTAAATCTCACGTTTATTTTCAACTGTAAAACATAAAATTCTGTCTTTCCTGTTCCCGTTCCCGTGGAAATTTCGGAAAGTGTTTTACTAACTCAGAAACTTTCGTGGGCGTACGTCCAACCATTCCGCAAAGATTCATCGCAATGGGATTAACGGTTTAGACAGGTATAAGAGACAGACAGGCAGACAAACATTAATTTTTGCTAATATGGATATAGCAGACCCGATGAACGTTGTATCGCCTATCTCGGCCAATCTCGATAATAAATGGTACATTGGCATTGCCTTTAACACTTCCGTTTAATGCCATTACGGCTGGTGTGCACATTTTAAATACTTTGAGGTTTTGTGAGTTAACAGATTCGATATGTTGCAAAATTCCACTGTGCACATTTTAAATATTTGAAAGTATATTGCGGGTTATATTGACACTATTTAGAGTCTACAGGAGAATCCAACTGGCTTCGTGGCGCACTAAGAGGGGCAATAGAATACGAATAGTGGGGTGCGTGATCTTCTTACGCGCCTGGTGCAAAAGTTCGTTTATTCGTTGTATAATCACACTGTGCACATTTTGAAACCTTTGAAGGCTTGTCTTAGTTTCAATCTACTTAATATGCACTTTAAATCTTTTGAAGTATTGCCTATTTTAGGGTGCTTTTATCATTATTACACACTACGTGATTTACAGCTAATCGAAATCGCGAATGAACCGAGGGTCCTAACGTGTTTCGTTTGGAAACCGCTCTCAAAAAAGTGGTGAAATTTGAATTTCTTCTTTAATTTTTCTCTCAGCAACCATAAGAGTTACAAAGATTGGTGGTTCGTACTTTAATAAGTTTTGGAGTATACTCTTTAGGATTTTGCAAAAAAATTTTCAAAATTCTTGCCACGAAAGCCATAAATGGATCTGCGAACAAAAATTCCGATTTTGACTAAATTTGGTATCTGGGGGTTTTTTAACATGAAAATCATGAATGTGAAATTAGTTTACGAAAATTTGAAGAAACCAATTAATAGAAAGAGAGAAGGATTTTGAATTAATTAGAAATTGGATGATGATTCCTGTACCATTTTTTCAGAACGTGTGAAAAATTTGTGTTTTTAATTTTATAATAAGATGAATGAGTTGTATATGTGTATAATATCAAAATTCCAAAGTTCAACAAAAAGTAAAAAAAAAGTCCAAAATCCTAAAATTTCAAGTCTCAAATTTCTAATTTTTTAAAATCCCAAAATCTTGAATTTCATAAAAAATTCTCCCAAAATTTAAAATGTTCATAACCTCGAATTTTCTAATCTCTACACATCCCAAAATTTTCCATTTTAAAAATTTAGAACTCCCAAAATCTCAAAAGTCTATAATATAAAACTCTCAAAATCACAACATTTTTAATTTCCAAAATATCTCGAAACCAATATGTAAAAGCTCCAAGATGTAAAATATCTATAATCTCAATTTCCCAAACTCGTAAAGTCACAAAAATCCCCAGGATCCCCGAATCCCAGATCCCGACAATTTAACAAAATTTCAAATTTTAAATCTCAAACCAAAATGTACGTTCCAGAATAATCAGATTTCTCAAAATTATAATGTCTGTATTATGAAAATCCCAAAATTGCAAACTACCAAAATCTTCCAACTCAATTTCAAGCTCGTTGCCTCCTACTTCTTTCAAGAGAGACGCGTTCCATACGAGGAGAAGGAAGGAAAGCAAAGAGGCTAGGTGGAAGGAGGACGGAGACAGACAAAATGTGAAGGATGCGTGCAGATAGGAAGAAGGTAGTCGAGAGAAAAATATTTACCTGACGTTGACAATTTGTGACAGAAGTGCAAACAGGGCGTGTTGGTAAAGGAACAAAAGTGAAGGAAATAAGTGTGAAAGTAGAAGACTCAAAAGACGTGTGAGGGAACCAGGCGTAAAGAAAGTATAATTAAAGAGGTGTAAAGGCAAAAAGCACGGATAAGTTGTGCAGGAAACGTAATAATGTATAGTGAAGAAGACACAAAAGCGCATGGTAAATGCGAAAGAAACGATATCATGTGAAGGAAAAGCAAACAAAAAAGGAGGCTTAAAACCATGGCGATAAGAGAGGAGATCTGAATTTGATTTACAGCGATGACGACATGAAAGAAACGAGTCTGAAAAAATTGGGAGGGGCGTCTATAAAAGTAAGCGTGAAAGGAACATATCGAGCAGGAAGGAAGCGAGAAGGAAGAATGCCTGAAGTAGACGTAAAGAAAGGAAATCTGAAACAAGTGTGATGAGGGGTATGAGAAGACTCGTAGTATAAGTTAATTCTTTTATGTGCTTATGGAATGGAAAAGATATACGGGGCAGCGCAGCGGTATGATAAAATGAGGCGCGAAGAAAGAGGAAGTGATATGACGTGAATCATTTTTGAGATATGAGCGTCACGATTGTGTTCCCACTAACATACAGTGTGTCTCCCGTGTGTCCTTAGGCCTACTTTGCTTTTTTTGTTATTATTAAC